TCTCTCTCTCTCTCTCTCTCTCTCTCTCTCTCTCTCTCTCTCTCTCTCTCTCTCCCTTTATCATCACACTGGATTTCTCAAGGCATTCCTCAAATAAAATCTGGGGGCAGTGGCTGAGAACTCAGAACATGGATGATAATTTCGCAGCCAAGATAGCATCTCTGACAAAAAACAAAACGAAACAAAACAAAAACCCTGAGCTAGAGTGTTGAGGTTGATATTCTTGCCAGCTACCTCTGTAGACAAGGGCTGATCCAGGGCATGAAACACAGATCCTTGCTAGACTAGATACATTCTCTTGGGGAATCGAAGTGGCAAGTAAACCCTAGAAATTCTAGGTAACCATGATCAAGAGTTTCCAATTTCCTCAGGTTTAATTTAAAATCATGACCTATCAAGGAAACGGAATTCAGCCCCCCCGCCCCCCGCCCCGTAGCCATCTCCAACCTTCATTACTCCCTTGGCTCCCTTCTTTTCTTCCTTCCTTCTCATTATAATTTCCCCCTCTACACCTAACCATCCCTTTCTGTGTTCATACCACACTTATCCAGTCATGTGCTCTTTTGCTGTCATAGGAATTCACTGGCCTTTTATTTCATCTGGTCACTCAACTCCATCAAACATCAGTGTACCAATTTATTCTTCCATCAGTGAACCACTCACCTAGCCATTCACATATTATTTCCCCATTTAGATAACCCTAATTCTCTCTATACAATCATGTACCTTCCTAACATGACTGTTCCCCACCTATTTACTTAAGAGATCTATCCATTCCCTGCCTGTCAATCCATCTTCCAAGCATTCTCCAACTAGCCTTTGGCAGACATACCTATTTCCCAAGCCACTTCAAGGTAATGGAATCTTAGCTGTTATCTTTCTATTCTACAAGAGAGGCTGTCTAGTTATTCTTAAACATGGCAGCTAAACACTTGGATGTATTTTCGTTATCCTCACCCAAAATATACCCTATTCAAAGCATATACATATAAAAGTACTTGTGGAGACATATTAAGAGTATACTTTTTCTTAACAAGGTGAATCAGAGTAGAAAATGAATGGAGAATTGAAAAACAAATGAAAAAACGCAGAAGAGAATATATGATGCTTACCTTTCTTACACTCAGGTGGCAGTCATGTAATGAACACATAGCAAATGAATGCAGAAACAGACAAGAGAGACCCCAACTGCTCAGGACCCCTTTTTTCTACAGTTTGGTTTGCTGTTGGATCAATTACTTACTTTGATGAAAATCAGAGAGTGACATTAATTGGTATCAAATCCCATGACCAATTTTGAAAAACCAAAACTCTAAAAATACAAATGATGCTATCTTCTTTAGACACATTTATCTATCTGTTAGGAAACCTCTTGCTTTTCCTTACTTTTCCACCATTTATGTATTCACCACTTATGCATCACATTTAGTCAGAGACTTCCCTGAAAGAGTTCACATTTACAATTTGAAAATAAGTTGTATAAAAAGAAAAAATTACAGTATTAGATGGCAAGCATTATGATAGAGATATGAGAAAATCTCATGTCTGTTCTGGTTGCAGACTGCAGAACAAATACTGGGAGATAATTAGGAGGCTTCCTTATTTTCACCTATTTTTTTCCCAGAGATAAAAAGCTGTGTGTAAACAGCTAAGACAGGCAGTAGACACAGTGTGCAGACACATTACTACAAAAATAAACAGAATAAGAGGACTATAGAGAATTCTGTGTTCAACAATATATGGTGGAGTAAATAAGTACCTGTTGAATGAGAACCATGAACAGAGTTAAACCTATAAATGGGCAAGCAGCAAAACTGCAGCTGGTGAGAAGGCTGATACAAGACCTCCCGGAGGGACGAAGTAACACCTAGAATGTCAAATGTGCCTAGATATATAAAATTTCATTCCTAGGCAGGATTACTTTGCATCTTATCTTCGCTTAGTTGTCAAAGCACCATGAGCCTGGCTGAGGGGGGAAGGAGGAGCCCATGACTGGGAGCTGGCCACGGACTGAAGGCTGTCAGTACAGGTCAAGTGTGGACTGATGAATGAGCCCCTGAACTAAGCTTCTCCAGACAAGACTTGCCCAGAGCACAGTGGTTTGGAATGCAATAACTACCTTATTTGCATTTAAGTGTTTAAAAGCATCTCCTGTTTCAAAGATAGGAATATTTATAGCTTTTACCTTTCCATTAACTGCTATCTCCTATGAGACATATTTTCTTTCATTTAGTTGGAGTCCTCACACCACGTATTTTCTTCAGAAACATAGTGTGATGTAGTTTGAGGAAACTTACTTTTAAATTATGTGCTCACAAGTGATGAGTTGTTTTGTCTTGGACGTATTTCTCTCCTCTGAAGTACAGTCTCATCTTTGGCAACATGATGCTCATAATAGCCATCTTACAAGATCAGCTTTGAGAGTTAGATTCTTAGATGAAAACAGGCAAGAGTGGAAGCATAGAACCTGGTGCAAATTAGTTAGTTGTAAAATCAACATTAGCTTTTTCTTTTATCTTCCCTCAGGGTTCCCCTCTGTGTTCTCACTTTCCTGAGCTTCTGTAAAAGAACATTTGGACTGCATTTTCTTCCTTATAAAATAAAAATCATATTTCATATGTTATTTCTTGATAGAAATTCAAAAAGCAGGAACATATTTCTGAGTCTTCCATTATTCAAGGACATGAGCTTGGAAAATGGCACCAGTAAGGTTTCTGGATAGAATACCACAGAAGCATTGAAAAATGGAGTAGAATCTAATATTCAGTCCAAGAAACATGTATAGCTCATAGAAGAGAGGTACAGTGGATACAAGCTGGGAAGCAGAATGTTTATCTTGTAGAAAGTACTAGCCCAGGTTAGCATTATAGCATGAGCTATGGGTGGAAGAGGGGTAGCTCAGTGATAAAGCACACGGTTAGCAAGCACAAGGCCCTGAGTTCCATCTCCAGTATATATAAAAGTTTAGTACAACATAGTAGATTTTGTGCATGGGCCAGAAAAGCCCAGTAAGCATACAAAGACAGTACACATCCAGGCACACTTCCAGAAGAGGGGACATGGAGTAGAATTTTAAAGGAGCGAAGAAATTAGCCAAGAATCGGGAGAATAAAGAGCAAGTGAGCAACAGAAGAGGATCATTCCTGGTGAACACATGGAGGTACGAGAAGCACAACAAGGTCAAGAAACTGCAATTGCAGAGAAACCCAAGCCCAGGAAGTGCATGAGAGGCTATGGGGCAGATGACAAGTTGGAGGTTGGACAAGGTCCAATGTTTCCCTAAAATCTTTACAGGAAATGCTGAGACATTGGGATCTGCCCCAAAACAAACAATAAAAACAGGAAGGACTTCATCAGGAGCCTGACTAGACTGGGTTTACAATTTAGAAAGATCTCCCAAGCATCAGGGAAGGTTAATTGGGCGTCAATCAAGATAGCAAGAGGGAAACATCTAAATCAGATGAAACAGGATGAGCAGGACTAGGAAGGAGCAAAGAAGCTGGGAAGACTTTTTGAGGGTCAACTTAATGTAAGCCACTAGAAGCTGAGGTGATGGAAGTTTCAAATATGGCAAGTATTCCATACTTTCAGTTCAGCCAACTGGATGGAAACTGGATGATCCTGAAAACAGGAGTCTGATGCAGTTCTGTGCAGTTTTTGACACATTCCATTTCTAGGATCTGCAGAACATCCAGGTGGAGATGTTTCAGCATCATCAGCATTTTCCTGAGTCATCTAATTATATCCACTGCCATCCACAAGGGACGCCTGATTTCCTTTCTCTGCCTCCCACTTTAATTCCAGAGGAACTTTGGCTCCTTGGATCGTCCACCTGCAACTTCATTTCTCATCCTCCATTTCCTCTGTATCTTGATTTTTGCCTTTCAAAGGTGCTCCCCTTATTGCTTGTTGTGACGGAAGAGTAGAGAGCAAGTCTCTGATTAGACAGGCAGGA